GGTTTCGGGTAGCATAAAATCATTTTCGGAGGCACGTTTTTTGGAAATCTCTCTAGTAACAGCCGTTAAAATGTCCGCCATATGCTTGCTAAAATATATTTATAAGAAATTAACATAAAATTCTGAAAAAAACTTTTACAACTTACCGATTACCATATTTCTGCACAAATTTACATAACGATTCAATATACCAGGAACCTTTTTCGGGATCTCTTAGAGATTCGGTTCCCTTTATGGCAGAAATACCCAACAATATGTCGGCATAGGCATCGGGTGAAAACTTTTGAATGGATTTTGTACTTGTCTAAAATGAGAATAGTATCAATAGGTAAAAGCTTTGGGCTTTCAAATGTTCGGAAATACCGTATCGACTTTTGGATCATGCTTTTGGCAGGCTTGAAATAAAAGCATCTTTGGTTTTCCCATCAGTGTGTCAGCAGTTAATATTTCCTTAATTTCGGCTATGGCTACCGGTATAGAATTACAGCCATATACAGCACCTGTCATAAAACGTAGGTAATTATAAAGAAAAAATAAAATTCAATAAAAATATTAACAAATTAAAATAAGTAGTAGAAAAGTGCTTTTTTCATTTAAAGCAAAAACTAATAAATTTTCTAATTTTGCTTCCCAGTTCATGTAAATAATTTGATTGTCAGATAATTTCATAAAAATTTTAATTTTTACAAAAAGTAGTAGAAAAGTACTTTTTTAATTTCCAACAAAATTAAACAAAATTTTATATTTTCCTTTAGTTTTAGGTAAATATAAAGGAAAAGTGGAAAAATGCTGAAAATTTTAACAATTTAAAAAAAGTAGTAGAAAAGTACTTTTTTAATTTCCACCAAAATTAAACAAAATTTTATATTTTCCTTTAGTTTTAGGTAAATATAAAGGAAAAGTGGAAAAATGCTGAAAATTTTGGCAATTTAAAAAAAAGTAGTAGAAAAGTGCTTTTTTCATTTAAAGCAAAAACTAATAAATTTTCTCATTTTGCTTCCCAGTTCATGTAAATAATTTGATTGTCAGATAATTTCATAAAAATTTTAATTTTACAAAAAGTAGTAGAAAAGTACTTTTTTAATTTCCACCAAAATTAAATAAAATTTTATATTTTCCTTTAGTTTTAGGTAAATATAAAGGAAAAGTTCAAAAATGCTGAAAATTTTAACAATTTAAAAAAAGTAGTAGAAAAGTACTTTTTTCAATTAAAGCAAAAACTAATAAATTTTCTAATTTTGCTTCCCAGTTCATGTAAATAATTTGATTGTCAGATAATTTCATAAAAATTTTAATTTTTACAAAAAGTAGTAGAAAAGTACTTTTTTAATTTCCACCAAAATTAAACAAAATTTTATATTTTCCTTTAGTTTTAGGTAAAATAAAGGAAAAGTGGAAAAATGCTGAAAATTTTAACAATTTAAAAAAAGTAGTAGAAAAGTACTTTTTTAATTTCCACCAAAATTAAACAAAATTTTATATTTTCCTTTAGTTTTAGGTAAATATAAAGGAAAAGTGGAAAAATGCTGAAAATTTTGGCAATTTAAAAAAAGTAGGTAGGAACAAGTGCTTTTTTCATTTAAAGCAAAAACTAATAAATTTTTCTCATTTTGCTTCCCAGTTCATGTAAATAATTTGATTGTCAGATAATTTCATAAAAATTTAAATTTTTACAAAAAGTAGTAGAAAGTACTTTTTTAATTTCCATTTTAAAATTAAACAAAATTTTATATTTCCTTTAGTTTTAGGTAAATATAAAGGAAAAGTGGAAAAATGCTGAAAATTTTAACATTTAAAAAAAGTAGTAGAAAAGTACTTTTTTCAATTAAGGCCCAAATTTAATAAATTTTCTCATTTTGCTTCCCTGTTCATGTAATAACTTCTTTGACACATAATTTTATGAAAATTTCAATTTTTACAAAAGTAGTAGAAAAGTAGTTTTTTCAATTTGATCCAAATTAAAAAAAATTATTTTGCTTCTAGTTTCAGTTAAATATATAGGAGAAATAGAAAAAAGCTAAAAATTTTGACAATTTAAAAAAAGTAGTAGAAAAGTACTTTTTTTCAATTAAAGCAAAAACTAATAAATTTTCTCATTTCGTTATCCCTATTCATGTAAATAACTTCTTTGACACATAATTTTATGAAAATTTCAATTTTTACAAAAAGTAGTAGAAAAGTACTTTTTCATTTCGATCAAAATTAAACAATATTTTATATTTGCTTTTAGTTTCAGTTAAATATAAGGAAAAACGAAAAATTAAGAAAATTTTAACAATTTAAAAAAAGTAGTAGAAAAGTACTTTTTTCAATTAAGGCCAAATGTAGTAAATTTTCTCAATTGCATTCCTGTTCATTGTAAATAACTTGTTTGACACATAATTTATGGAAAATTTCAATTTTTACAAAAATAGTAGAAAAGTACTTTTTTCATTTCGATCAAAATTAAACGAAATTTTATATTTTTCTTCTAGTTTCAGTTAATATAAGGGAAAAACGGAAAAATTAAGAAAATTTTAACAATTTAAAAAAGTAGTAGAAAAGTACTTTTTTCAATTAAGGCCAAATGTAGTAAATTTTCTCAATTTGCATTCCTGTTCATGTAAATAACTTGTTTGACACATAATTTTATGAAAATTTCAATTTTTACAAAAAGTAGTAGAAAAGTACTTTTTCATTTCGATCAAAATTAAACAATATTTTATATTTTGCTTTTAGTTTCAGTTAAATATAAAGGAAAAACGGAAAAATTAAGAAAATTTTAACAATTTAAAAAAAGTAGTAGAAAAGTACTTTTTTCAATTAAGGCCAAATGTAGTAAATTTTCTCAATTGCATTCCTGTTCATGTAAATAACTTGTTTGACACATAATTTTATGAAAATTTCAATTTTTACAAAAAATAGTAGAAAAGTACTTTTTTCATTTCGATCAAAATTAAACGAAATTTTATATTTTTCTTCTAGTTTCAGTTAAATATAAGGGAAAAACGGAAAAATTAAGAAAATTTTAACAATTTAAAAAAAGTAGTAGAAAAGTACTTTTTTCAATTAAGGCAAAATTTAGTAAATTTTCTCATTTATCTGCCCTGTTCATGTAAATAACTTTTTTGACACACAATTTTGTGAAAATGTCAATTTTTACAAAAGTAGCAGAAAAGTACTTTTTCATTTCGATCAAAATTAAACAAAATTTTATATTTTGATTTTAGTTTCAGTTAAATATAAAGGAGAAGTAGAAAAATGCTGAAAATTTTAACAATTTAAAAAAAGTAGTAGAAAAGTACTTTTTTCGATTAAGGCCAAATTTAGTAAATTTTCTCATTTTGAATCCCTGTTCATATTTTATTAAGATTATTTGCATTAAAATGTAAGGAAAATATAATATTTTATCAATTTTTCTATTTGGAAAAAAGTACTTTTCTACTACTTTTTTAAATTATTGAAATTTTTACTGATTTTTAATTTTTTTTTTTCATTTTTCCTTGGAAGCAAATGCTAAATAACGTTTTTTTTTTTTTAATTTTTTCATAATTGTAAAAAGTACTTTTCTACTACTTATTTCAAATTTTTTGTAATTTTTAAAAACAAAAATGTTTTCTTAAGATTAATTGCATTAAAATGTCAGAAAAATATAATATTTTGTGTAATTTTTCTATTTAAAAAAGTACTTTTCTACTACTTTTTTTAAATTATTGAAATTTTTACTGATTTTTAATTTTTTTTAATTATTCCTTGGAACAAAATGCTAAATAACGTATTTTTTTTTAATTTTATCATAATTGTAAAAGGTACTTTTCTACTACTATTTTCAAATCTTTGAAATTTAAAAAAAAACTTGTTTTCTTAAGATTATTTGCATTAAAATGTAAGAAAAATATAATATTTTGTGTAATTTTTCTATTTAGAAAAATAGTACTTTTCTACTACTTTTTTAAATAGTTAAAATTTTCACAAATTTTTAAATTTTCTTTATTTTTACTTGGACCTAAAAGCTAAATAACGTATTTTTTTAAATTTTATCATAATTGTAAAAAGTACTTTTCTACTACTATTTTCAAATCTTTGAAATTTTCAAAAAAAAGTTTTTTTCTTAAGATTATTTGCATTAAAATGTAAGAAAAATATAATATTTTGTGTAATTTTTCTATTTAGAAAAAGAGTACTTTTCTACTACTTTTTTAAATAGTTAAAATTTTCACAAATTTTTAAATTTTCTTTATTTTTACTTGGACCTAAATGCTAAATAACGTATTTTTTTAATTTTATCATAATTGTAAAGAGTACTTTTCTACTACTATTTTCAAATCTTTGAAATTTTCCAAAAAGTTTGTTTTCTTAAGATTATTTGCATTAAAATGTAAGAAAAATATAATATTTTGTGTAATTTTTCTATTTAGAAAAAGAGTACTTTTCTACTACTTTTTTAAATAGTTAAAATTTTCACAAATTTTTAAATTTTCTTTATTTTTACTTGGACCTAAATGCTAAATAACGTATTTTTTTAATTTTATCATAATTGTAAAAAGTATTTTTCTACTACTATTTTCAAATCTTTGAAATTTTCAAAAAAAAAAGTTGTTTTCTTAAGATTATTTGCATTAAAATGTAAGAAAAATATAATATTTTGTGTAATTTTTCTATTTAGAAAATAAAAGTACTTTTCTACTACTTTTTTAAATAGTTAAAATTTTCAAAAATTTTTAAATTTTCTTTATTTTTACTTGGACCTAAATGCTAAATAACGCATTTTTTTAATTTTATCATAATTGTTAATAGTACTTTTCTACTACTATTTTCAAGTCTTTGAAATTAAAAAAAAAAAAAAAAAGTTGTTTTCTTAAGATTATTTTGCATTAAAATGTAAGAAAAATATAATATTTTGTGTAATTTTTCTATTTAAAAAAAGTACTTTTCTACTACTTTTTTAAATTGTTGAAATTTTTACAGATATTTAGAAAGAAAGTACTTTTCTTCTTCTTTTCAATTAAGAAAAGTATATTTCTACTATTTTTTTCTTGTTTTTACTCTTACCTTCCATACCATGGGTAAGCATGCAAATAATAATGGAATCTTTAAGCAAACTTTTCTTAGTAGTTTCACGTATGTGATGTAAAATCTCCCAATGTGTAAGATTATTAAATACCAAAGGTATATAACCGTAGGAAGAAAATACTGCTTTAAGTCTATCACGATCAATGTCGGTACCATTACGTTTAGGGTTAAATTTCTTTTCTGGTAATAGATGCTAAAGGGAAAATATGTAAAAGAAATACGAGAATGAATTTTTAAGTTACAATTACCTGTAAACTGGGATCAGTTTCTTCATAGAATGTATTTTGATTTATTATCAAAATATAACCAGCATTCTCTTTAGTTATTTTATAACGTTCAGCAGCATCAAAATCTCCAGATAATTCAGCTTTAACTTCACTAAGCTGGGTAGTCGTACAGGAATCGTGCGATACAGAAATGCCGGAATCTTTATCCACTTCCGGCTGCTCCTCCAGTCTATCATTGTTGACCGCTTGCTGTTCTTGATTAATAGTTACGTTATCTAACTGTTGATTTATGGTTTCAAGTAGTAAATCCTTAAATGAATCCATATCATTAAATTTAAAAAATTCAATAAGTATTTGTATATTAGAGTTTTCCAAATTTCTATTGCCCACAGCAATCACCCCTTTCGTTAACCAATTTAAGAAAAATACCTCCAGATAGGAATAATCATAGAAACGTAAATGCTGACACTCATCGTATTTTGTATGGATATAATGAATCAGCCGGCCGGCCTGTTCCGGTGTTAAACGTTCGGCAATTTTATATAAAACCTTTAGTAATGGATGTACATAAACACTTATTTCGGCCACATGTGGCAAATAATGATGATAGATTTCCTGCCAGAGCAAACCCAGTTTGCGTAAGACCCTTTTGGCCCTGATAATAGCTAAGGCTTCTACTAAATGTAAACGCCAAGTTTCAGGATTTATATTCGCATAATTTGTCAATATACCACTGGTAACAAGTTGGCCTGTTGCTCCCAAACCTTTCCCCTGAGGTGGTTGTTGTGCTAATATTATTAATTTTTGTAATATATAACCATAGGCGTTACTATCAGCTCCAAACAATAGGAAACTCAAAGAAACCTGCCAAGTTATTAGTCATTAGTTGTTTCTTTAAAACTTCTAAATGTTTATATTTACCAATTGGTAGTAACATAAATCAGTTTCTATATATTGTAAATCCTCCACTGCTATGTCCTGTATACGTTTCATAATGTTTTTGGGTCGGAAGCTCATTTTTCCTAGAATTTATAACAAAAAAAATATTCTTCCGTTTTTATTTTTATGCTGCTTGTTCTTTGTTTTGTTTTTTATTTTTTTATAATAAAAGTTTAACAGTGCTGTTAAATTGGCGTTACTTTTTTAAAAATTTAATGCTTTTCATGACGTTTTAGCTGTTTTTTTGTAACAAAAACTTTGCATGGCAACACTAAAAATAGCAAAAGAAAAAACAAAATAGCAAAGTTGCCACTCATAAATAATATTTGTTGGCAAATTTTTGCTAAGAATACAACAACAATAACAAAGTAAAAATTAAGCAAAACCTAATGCTAATACTTTGTTACACTAGCGGAAATGGCTGGGGAACATTTATAATGTTATAAAATAAGTAAAAGTTGAATTATTAACCGTGTGGCTGCCTTCCGTAGTATTAAATGTTGACAATTTTTAAAATACTGTTATTTTAAAAGATAGGTAGATAGATAGATAGATAGATAGATAGATAGATATAGATAGATAGATAGATAGATAGATAGATAGATAGATAGATAGATAGATAGATAGATAGA